ATAATGTGCTCCTGGCAGCGGGCAGGGGTGAAGCCTTCATGGGATGTCCACGCTTGTCCTTGCTCAGATGATGTTTAAAACCCGTAACCAAATTACACTGTGTCATTCCGAGTGAAGGCTTCTGCAATGAATGGAGGGGTCCATGGCACTGAGGGACAAGGACAGACAGGGCTGGGGGGAGCAGAAGGCATGAGGCCGGTGGATCTGGGTGGGGGCTGGGCCACGCAGAGCCTAAGCAAGGGGCCCTGGAGGAGGTGGGCACGTCGGCCTGGGCACTGTTCCCACAACAGTTCAAGACATGGGGGCAGGGGGACACAGTCTAGCTGCACTGGGGAACCTGGGCTCACTCACACCCTGCGGGTGACCCGGGCTCTTTCCCACCAGCCAGAGAGGAGCACACAGAGAACATTCCAGCAACATCCTGAACCAACACAGGTGGCATGCATGTGCCAACCCCGGCTGAACACGGCAGAGGCGACTGTCCAGGGCACCATGCGACGTCCCGAGTACTGCTGGCACCACAGGGCTGAGGACTGCCACATCCCGGGGACTCCCCGCACCCCACCCCTGGTAGCTCCCAGTCCGGCTAAATGTCAGGAGTGACTCTGACTGATGCACCTATAAATCCCCAAATCCAAACGCTGCAAATTTCCCCCACCGTGATTTTCCGATCAAGGTTTGCCTCTGCGCAGGTTCAATCCCCAGCATCCCTGAGGGTCCCCCGAGCATCGTCAGGAGAGATTCCTGAGTGCAGAGCCAGGAGTCAGCCCTGAGCATCACTAGCCCTGTCCAAAAAAAAAATGAGATAGATCAGGGGCTGAGAGATAGTCCAGCGGGGAGGGTGTTGGCCTGGCACCCGGCCAACCCGGGTTCGATCCCTGGCATCCCATAGGGTCCCCCGAGCACCGCCAGGAGTGATTCCTGAGCACAGAGCCAGGAGTCAGCCCTAAGCATCGCCGGGTGGGACCCAAAAAGCAAAGGAAAAAATAAAGGGTAGCAGAGAGGGCAGGAAGGCCAGTGGGGGGCCAGGACGAGCACCCAAGGCTGGGGGTGACCACCAGGATGCATATGGTCAGGCTGGACTTGTCCCCTGTGACCACTGCCGTTCTCAGTGACCAGGAACACAGGGCGGGCTCCCAGCGAGAGGGTCCCCTACACGACCTGGTGAATGGATGAACTTTGAAGCCACCGACTCCGGTTTAATGGCTCCCTGGTACGGCACAGCCCCTGGGTGTTTCTGGGTGCGGCTCCGATGTACTTAAGGCCAGATGGAGGAGCCTGGTCCCCCGGGACCCCTGGCCTGAGTATTCCACATCCTGGATAAGCGATGGGGGTCCCACAGCACGGGAGTGGGAGTCCCAGTGAGAGGGTCCCCTATAAGAACACAGGGTGGGGGGTCCCACGAGAGAGCTCCCTACAGAACACAGGAATCACTCCTGGCGATGCTCGGGGGACCCTAGGGGATGCTGGGGATCGAACCTGGGTTGGCCACGTCCCAGGCAAGCGCCCTCCCCGCTGTGCTATCGCTCCAGCCCTCACCTCCTGTTTCCTCCTTCCTCCCTTCCTTCCTCCCTTCCTTCCTTCCTTCCCTCCCTTCCTTCCTTCTTTTCTTTCTTTGCTTTTTGGGTCCCACCCAGTGATGTTCAGGGCTGACTCCCGGCTCTGCACTCAGGAATCATTCCTGGCAGTGCTCGGGGGACCCTATGGGATGCCGGGGATCGAACCCGGGTCGGCCGCGTGCCAGGCCAATGCCTTCCCCGCTGGACTATGTCTCCAGCCCCGACTTCCAAACTTCCGACTTCTAGTCCTTTGCTTTCTAGCATCTTGGGAGGCAAGTCCATGGCGATGACTCATTCTCACCTTGATGTGAAAAGCCTGCCTTCAGCGGCAGCCGGCTTCACTATTATTTCCAGAGCTGTGCTAACTGCAAAACATACTTCTTCTTCTCCTTTTATTATTTTTTTTTCCCTCCCCACACAGCAACCTGTGATTTGGCGCTTGGCATAATTTCTCTCCTATTTCTGCCGATACTGATCCTACTTTTTTTTCCCTGTTGCTAGAGGTTTTTTCTTTCTTTTTTTTTTTTTTTGGCTCAGGAATCACTCAGTTCTGGCAGACTTGAACCTGCACCCCACATGCAGACCCTCACCCCTTCAAGTCCATAGCATAGCATGCCCTCCTGGGCCAAGTGCAGGGTTTTATTTTTGTTGTTGTTGGTTTTTATTTTATTGATTTTTTTCCTGCTTTCTGGGTCCCACCCGGCGATGCTCAGGGGTTCCTCCTGGTTCTGCACTCAGGGATCACTCCTGGCGGTGCTCAGGGGACCCTATGGGATGCCAGGGATCGAACCCGGGTCGGCCGCATGCCAGGCCAATGCCCTCCCCGCTGGGCTATCACTCCAGCCCCGGTTTTTACTTTTTATTTATTTTTGCTTTTTGGGTCCCACCTGGCGATGCTCAGGGCTGACTCCCGGCTCTGCACTCAGGAATCACTCCTGGCGGTGCTCGGGGGACCCTAGGGGATGCTGGGGGTTGAACCAGGGTTGGCCACCTGCAAGGCAAACACCCTCCTTGCTGTGCTATCACTCCAGCCCTCAACTGCAGTTTTTATTTTCAATAAGTGATCTTCTCTTCTTCCCACAGTTTCCGTTCCCTGCCATGAACATTTTTCTGATATATACATCACTGTCCTCCCATTGTTCATCGATTTGCTCGAGCGGGCCCAGTAACGTCTCCATTGAAGACTTTTGTTGTTACTATGTTTGGCATATCGAATACGTCCTGGGGAGCTTGCCAGGCTCTGCCGTGCGGGCGAGATACTCTCGGTAGCTTGCCGGGCTCTCCGAGAGGGGCAGAGGAATCGAACCCGGCTCGGTCAGGCTGGCTGTGTGCAAGGCAAACGCCCTTCCGCTGTGCTATCGCTCCAGCCCAATATATTATATTTGTGACCTTTGACTCTGGGCTCAACGGGACTCTGGAGCAGAGATCCCCTGCCTGCTTCCCCCAGTCTCCAGTGACCCAGGGGTCACACCCATAAGCCACCTCCTCCCGGCGCCAGATAATCTCCTCATCGTCCACCCTCCAGAGCTCACAGCTGCTCCCCCCGGAAGAAAGCATAACATGAAGCCCCCATAACCATGCCACCGGACTCTGCACCAGGCTGTTTTCACTCAGGACGCCCCAGAGAGGGGACGGGTGAGAGCCCTCCCCACCCCAAGGGACCCTGCCCTGGCAGTCGACCTCCACTACCCAACCGCCACCATACTCCAGGCCGCTTTCCACACAACTCTGCCCGAGCCTCACATATGAGTAAACATACTTCTGGACACATCATAAGACACTCCCTACCCACTTCTCTATAATTGCCACACCATATTTGATGGGGTTCAGACAGTAGGCAACAAATCTTAGCGGGAAATACACACACACACACACACACACACACACACACACACACACATACACACACACATGCCTCTCGGAGAGCCCAACAAGCTACCAAGAGTATCCCGCCCGCACGGCAGAGCCTGGCAAGCTCCCCGTGGCGTATTCGAGATGCCAGAAACAGTCACCATAATGGGTCTCATTCCCCTGACCCTGAAAGAGCCCCCAATACGGCAGCATTGGGAAGGACGAGTAAGGAGAGGCTGATAAAATCTCACAGTTGGGATAAATGAGACATTACTGGAACCCGCTTGAGTAAATCAACAAACAATGGGACTGGAACCCCGCTTGAGTAAATCAACAAACAATGGGATGACAGTAATACAGTGATAAATATAAAAAAAAAAAATTCAGGGGCTGGAGCAATAGCACAGCGGGTAGGGCATTTGCCTTGCACGCGGCAGACCCGGGTTCGATTCCCAGCATCCCACATGATCCCCTGAGCACCGCCAGGAGGGATTCCTGAGTGCAGAGCCGGGGAGTCAGCCCTGAGCATGGCCGGGTGGGACCCAAAAAGAACAAAGAATCAAGATGAGGAGCCAGATTGATAGCACAGCGGGGAGGGGCGCTGGTCTTGCACGCAGCCGACCCGGGTTCAATCCCCGGCAACCCATAGGGTCCCCCGAGCACCGTGAGGTGTGATTCCTGAGTGCAGAGCCAGGAGTCAGCCCTGAGCATCGCCGGGGTGTGGCCCAAAAAGAAAACAAAAAATCAGTGTTGGGTCTTTTATCTTGGACATACTTGCTCCCTGTGACAAAGAAACCCAAGCCTGCATTTTTCTGGGAACAAACGAGTTCCCAAGGCTTCTTGGAAACTCAGCCCATGCCCGGGGCCTTGGCAGCAGGGAGCAATGGTCTAAAGCTGTCCCCCAGCCCTGCAGAGAAATAAGCCCCCTCCCAGGTTCCTGGAACCTGGGGATTGTGCCGTGCTTCGAGAAAGCAGCTTAGCTCAGGCCATGGGGTGCCTGACACTGGGTACCAGCTCTGTGCTGGGTAATTCCGGACTGACAAGAAAAAAGCAGGCTGCGAGACGGGCAGTGGTGGCCACGGCATGGAAGGGAAAGAGCTTGATGAGGTGGTGGCTATGGTCACCTGCAGGGTTGCCCAGGGGCCGCGGACGGGCCATCCCCGCTGCACGGCGGATGACGGGAGAGGCTGGATCTCTGCCAGCCCCCGGGGCACTAGGGACCCAACATCTGGGTCACAGCTGACAGTCCCCACCCCGGGTCCTGCTGGAGAACGAGACACCCGACCACCAAAGTCTCAAAGCCAGGCTGGCAGCAAGCCACGGAGTTGGGGTCTCCCCGATGGGGATGGGCTGGCCGGTGCCCCCCACTCACGACACCCACCGGCAGTGCTGGGGGCGGGTACCATGGGGTCCAGTGCCCAAATCCCCAAACGCGGCCACAAGCCCCCGGGGGCTAAACCAGGCCCGCCGGGTGAGGCTCGGATGCCTGCCGAGGGCTTGGACGCCCACCCAGGTGGCAGGCGCAGCTCCGGGCCCTGCCAGGAACATGCAGTGGACAGTGACAGAGGGCTGAGCCCCAGGGTCACTTACCCAGACAGCACCCCCAGGACGAGGTTGAGCACGAAGAAGGAGCCGATGATGATGAGGGGGATGAAGTACAGCCAGTTCCACGTGGCGCCCAAGCATCGTTGGTCTGAGAGAGGGGAGAGGAGAGAGAGAGAGAGAGAGAGAGAGAGAGAGAGAGAGAGAGAGAGAGAGAGAGAGAAAGAGAGAAAGAGAGAGAGAGAAAGAGAGAGAGAGAAAGAGAGAGAAAGAGAGAGAGAGAGAAGGGTTCAAAATGCTGCCCGCTGGGGCCACAGTGACAGCACAGCGGGGAGGGCGCTGGCCTGGCTGACCCGGGTTTCATCCCCCAGCATCCCCTAGGGTCCCCCGAGCACCGCCAGGAGTGATCCCTGAGTGCGGAGCCAGGAGGAACCCCTGAGCATTGCTGGGTGGGACCCAAAAAACAGAAAAAAAATAAGAAAAGGAAAAAAAAGGAGGCTGGAGCCATAGCACAACAGGGAGGGCGTTTGCCTGGCATGCAGCTGACCCGGGTTCAATCCCCAGCATCCTCTAGGGTCCCACGAGCACCGCTAGGAGTGATTCTTGAGTGCAGAGCCAGGAGCATTGCTGGGTGGGACCCAAGAGAGAGAGGGAGGGAGGGAGGGAGGGAGGGAGGGAGGGAGGGAGGGAGGGAGGGAGGGAGGAAGGAGAAAAGGAAGGAAGGGAAGGAAGGAAGGAAGGAAGGAAGGAAGGAGAGAAGGAAGAAAGGAAGAGAAGGAAGGAAGGGAAGGAAGGGAGGAAGGAAGGAAGGAAGGAAGGAAGGAAGGAAGGAAGGAAGGAAGGAAGGAAGAAGGAGAGAAGGAAGAAAGGAAGAGAAGGAAGGAAGGGAAGGAAGGGAGGGAAGGAAGGAAGGATGAGAAGGAAGGGAAGGAGGGAGGGAGGGAGGGAGGGAGGGAGGGAGGGAGGAAGGAAGGAAAGAAAGAAAGGAGGGAAGGAAGGAGGCAGGTAAGTGGGGAGGGGAGGAAAGTGTGTCCCCCGCCAGCTCAGATGCCCCCCGCGAGGCTCTGGCCCAACAGGGTCAGTCTGCAGCACTGACTGGGGCTCGGATCTGGCTCAGTGCCCCGGAAGCTGCGTGGACGCCACCCTCACCCCCATAGGGGGATGGGAGGAGCAGGGCGGGAGCACGGGAGCCCGCGCCCCGGAGCACCAACTCGGACCCGAGGCCGAGTTCAGGAGCATTTGTCCAAGGAAGAGGCCCACGCCCCGCAGACCGGGACAGGCGCCCACCCCGAGACTCTGGACAGGCCGGGGAGCTGCGTGCGCCCACCACTGCGTCTGGCCTCACCCCTGCACCCGGCCTTCAGTGCCCGCGTGAATCGCCACCAGGGACAAGGCCGGCGGCTGCCCCATGTCCAGCGCGGGCAGCTGGGACATGGCCCCCAGCCTCCTCCCCAGGAAGTGCCTGCCCAGACCACCAGGACCCCAAGAGGCAGCCACGGTGCAGAGGGGGGGCCCGGGACCCTGAGGGAGGAGCGCAGGGTGGTGGGGGTGGGGGTCATGCCCTCTGCCCCCAGGAGACCCCCACAGCCCCCCACCCAGTGCCCGGCAGGCCCTGCTCAGGTCTCAGCCCCCCACCACGACGCAGCAGACGGGGGAGCCCATGTTCCTCCTGGAGCTGCTGCCTTGGGGGGCGGGCGGGCGCCCCCACACCGCGTGAGCCGCCGCTCCGGCAATTAGCACATTAATCCCGGGGGGAGGCGCAGGGGTGCGTGGGGGGAAGGAGAACGGAGGGGGGGGACCCAGCTCTGCTGCTGGGGGCACCCGAAATGGGGTTCTCGGGGGCCCCCAGAAGCAGGCGTTAGGGTCTCTGGAGGGGCTGCCTGGAGGGCACATAGGCCCCCCCCCCTCCGTGGTCTGTCCCTGAACCGCCTCTACGGCCCCCCCTACCCCCAGGTTAGTCTCCCAGAGACACAGACCTGGGCGGACACGCCTCGCGTGCAGAAGCCCGCTGGAGCACTGGCCCCCGCCCAGGGAGAGGCCCCTGGGTTCTCCCTGAAGGGCGCCCCCTGTGAGGGAGAGGAATGAAGGGGGGCGGGCACACAGGACAGCGGGGCAGCGGGCAGGCCGGGCTCTACCCCAGGGGCCACATATGGTGCCCCTGAGCATTGGCAGGAGGGGACCCCTGGGCGCTGCTGGGTGTAGCGGGAGGAAGGGAGGGAGAAAAGGAAGGAAGGAAGGAAGGAAGGAAGGAAGGAAGGAAGGAAGGAAGGAAGGAAGGAGAGAAGCAATCCTGATCGTACCTTCTAGGAAGAAGTAAAAAGTAAACAGAAAAAATCAGAGAAGTTGTGGAACCCACGCCCAGCGGCCCCCACGCCCCCCCCGGGACCCCCCACACTGCTGCTCCGTGAGGTCCAGGGAGCACGTGTGGGGAGCAGGCGTGAGAGTGAGGTTGGAGGCTCCGGGGGCCATGGGGCCAGCTCACCCCTAGAGTCAGAGCCCATGGGCGGACACAGCCACGCACAAGGCTCTCGGACCCGGACACGTGCTGTGGGAAACCAGCACCACAAGTCCCCCACGGAGCCACAGCCACACAACCCCACGGACGAGCTCAGAGTCCCACACACCGACACGGACACACAATCCAGAAATGAGCTCAGAATCCCACACACGAACATGGACACACAACCCATGGGCAAGCTCAGAGTCCCACACATGAACACAAACACACAACCAACAAACGAGCTCAGAATCCCACACAGCGACACGTGTTGGAGTACGAACAGAAAAGGGTGAGATGTTGGAGTACACGGGGCTTAGGTTTATCAGGTTGCACCCATCACAGTGCTCCCGAGTCACTCCCATTACTTTGTCTGTCTGTAACCTCTTCTATGCTCTCTTCCCCAACCAATTTGTAAGGTCTCATCCTTCTTAGACACTGAAGCTGTACTGTAAGTCAATATTGCCTTTCTCCTCTCCTCATGTCTTTTGAATCGTTTACTTTAATGCAGTGTCCTTTTGTATAGATACAGGAAGACAATTAATTCATATTATGCTTTATAACTTAGAATTTAATTGGCTTTGGATATTATTCGCTCCCGGGCATCTGCTTTCTCAACTTAAGCCTCAGTTGCCCTCACTTCCTAGCACCCCAAGGGCAGGGTCCCGACGTGGGACTGGATGGAACCAGGGCAAGCCGGTAAGTTATGTGCTACCCTGGCATCGCGATGGGGCCAGGCCAAGGTGCCACGATTCTTAACTATAGGTTAAGAGTTTGGTCATAGGCAAATGCTGTCATGATCCAAAAGAAACGATGAGACTAGGACCCTGCTGCTAGGAACAGGACAGATATCTGGCCTGAGCACTGCAATCTGAGATCGAGATGGCCCTAGGAGAGCAATTCTATATGCTCAAAGTATTTCTTACTGTGTCCATATGAAATGATTTATATCATGTATGCTTATATGTTGGTCGGACAAGGAGAGGAGAAACACATCCAGGGACATCTGTTCTAGTGTGAGTTGATCTGCTAAGTGAGAATCTGCCCTAGAAGCAGTTTTCTTACGTGTCCTGACTAGCTGGGATGAGACTGAACTTTCTCCCCTTCAAACTGCCTTCAGTAAATGATCTCAGTATATTGAGGCAGTTTCCCTTATCTCACAGGAACCTAGCTGGTCTTGGGTAAGCAGATCCCAGGTGCTAAGCCAGGCCTGATCTTTGGGACGTAGATGCCTGGCTCCAGGCAGGCTGATCTTGGAGATGTAGGCTCCAAGCTCTCGCAGACTCCTCTTTGGTGTGTTAATCCAAATCGGTGAGGCCAAGATTACTGGCCTGTGGATGTAAAGAAACTGTGTATGTTTGCTGCCTCAATGTTCTTTCTGTAACTCCTTTTGATGACCTCACTATATTGGCCCTTTAGAGGTACCATGATGTATATAAGGGGATTTTCGGGGCTCTTGGGGGGCTCTCTCGGGGTGCATGTGCTTGAGGACTCCTGAGGCCTCCATGACATCTTCCCTGTAATAAACTGCTGCTAAGACCAACCAGCCTGGTTTCCTTCCTTCGCCTGACCATCGCCATGCACCTCCCTGGAGTGGGGGAACGGCCTGACCGCCAGCTTTTTATTTTTTGCGTGTTTACACAAACACGGACACACAATCCACGAAACTCTGAGTCCCACACTCGGCTCTGATCCACGCGTCCTGTGAAGCGGAGTCCCACCCGCGGACACAGAGCTCACACTCCGCCCCCCCACAGACCTGCCCTGCCTGGGGGACCCCGGGTCGGACCGGGGGCTCGGTGTACCCCAGCCCAGACACTCCTCGGGGGTCACCCCTCCGCCCGACGCCTCACCCCCCGCCCCCACCCGTGAGTGCCCAGGACAGGGCCAACGAAGGGGCGAGAGAGACCGCCGTGCCCACCCCGGGCCCGGGCAGCCAAGGGGTGCAGCGAGTCCAGGTGAAGGGCTGTGGGTGCCGTCCTGGGGTCCCCCTGTCCCCTGCACTGTGACCGGGAGAGGCCGCAGGGGAGTCGCGAGCGGCCCATGTGCAGACCTCGCCCACCCACACAGAACCCCCAGGCCCCAGTGGGAGGGATGGTCAGGATGGACGCCCCCTGGCCCTCCCTCCCTCCCTCCCTCTCCCCCCTCCCTTTCCCCCCTCCTCCCTCCCTCCCTCCCTCCCTTCCTTCCTTCCTTCCTTCCTTCCTCTCTGCCTCCCTTGCCCTCCCTTCCTTCTGTCCTCCCTCCCTTCCCCTTCCTTCGTTTCTTCCTTCCTTCCTTCCTTCCTTCCTTCCTCCTGTCCCTCCTTCTTTTCCTTTCCTTCTTCCCTTTCCTTCCTTCCTTCCTTCTTTTTCCTTTCTTCCCTCCCTTCCTCTCTCCTTCCTTCCTTCCTTCTTTTTCTTCCCTTCCTCCCTTCCTTCCTTCCCTTTCTTCCTTCCCTCCCTCCCTTCCTTTTTTCCTTCCTCCCTTCTTTCTCTTCCTCCCTTCCCTTCTTCCGTCCTTCCTTTTCCCCTCCCTCCCTTCCTCCTTTCCCCTTCCTTCCTTCCTTCCTTCCTTCCTTCTCTCCCTCCCTTCTTTCCCTTCCCTCCTTCCCTCCCTCCCTCCCTCCCTCCCTCCCTCCCTCCCTTCCTTCCTTCCTCCCTCCCTCCCTTCCT